AATTTTTGGTTAATTAAGACAAGCATTAGAAGGCCACAGAGCAGGGAAAGCAGCTGGCATGGAGGTGAGGACATCAGTCTTAAGGTATAAATCAACATTAAAAAAGGCCAATTTTTTTTTCACCACGGACCACAGGTCATAACACTAAGATACACATCATATACACATCATAGCACTAAAGTCTCACTCCTGTCATTTTCTAAAACTTGGCAGCCCTGGATTTGAATGTGCATGTCAGGGGTCTGCTAGTAAGGAGTTGCAGCAGTCAATGAGTGCTATTACAAGAGCCTTTACTGAGGGATGTGTCGTCTGATCCCCCTGATGTTGTAGAGGCCAAATTGGCATCATCATGCTATTGAGGTTGGCAATCAATCATGACACCCAAATTTTGACTTAATGAGCATGAGTTTGTCCGATCTGGACATTGATTTGTGTTTGTACAGAGAGGTTGGCTGGAATGACAAGAAGCTCAGTTTTGGATAGGTAGGGTTTCATCTTTCAATTAAGAAATTCATTTGAGGTTTGACACAGTTGTGTCATCTGGTGAAAATGGCATGAAGAGGCAGGTATCATCTGCACCTGATGAGATGGTGTATATAGAGAAAAGAACTGACCCTTGAAGAACCCCTGTTTACAAGCAATGTAGATTTAACACTTTTTCCTTTCCACAGCAAAACTGTAAAAGATTTCACTGTGAGGTGGGACACGAACCACTGGAGGGTTAGGGTAAGGTCTAGACCATGTCTAGACCAGAACTTCGTTTATATCAAATACCCAGTATCAGTACACGATGAAGTACAATCTCATCCTGTCCAAAGATTTATTTTTTGACATACTGACAAGACCAAGTAACCACCAAAGATTAGATCAGCTAGGAGATTTTCTCCACAAACGGCTTTATAGTTTGACTAAATTCACCCTCACCTAATTTATTTCTGACTTAATGTTCTCTCAGCAGACCCATACCTCATGATCTGAGATATATGGTTAGGCTGCAGTCAGCGAGCAGGTAAGAAAGATATTAAGGTGATGTTTTAAAATTCAATACTGTCCTGAATGGGCCAACAAAGATTTTTCAGTGCTAATGTAACGAGTTTTACTCTGTTGGGCCCTGTTAACACTGACTGCAGTGTTTGGGTGCTTACTGACTTTTTAGGAAGTCCATCATAGAGGGTGTCACAGTAATCTAATCTGCTGGAGTTGAATCAATAGACCTGTTTTTAGTATCAGATTGGGTCAAGAAGCATCTCAGTTTAGAAATGTACTTTGGATGGTAGATGGGTAAAAATGTGGATACACAGCGCTTTATGAGATAATCATCATTGTTCAGGTCCAACTCATTAAAGTCCCACTCTGATCATTTTTATTATTTAAAGTGTGCTCAGTGGTCATTAAAACAGGATTATCAAGTTTTTAGCCAAAAATGCGTTACCTGTGTCATTTTCAAGGGCTTTTCTTGTGCAGAGCTCCAGTAACTCATAAGCAAATCAACTCTGAGTCGTGGGTGGAGACAGAGCTGCTCTGCACACTCCTCTTCATGCTAGCTTGTAGCCTAACATTGGCAGTGTAGTGGAAGAAGCAGGTAACATAAGAGCTATTCAGCTCTCAGGCACCAATGTCTTCAGGAACATGATGAAAGTTGATAGCATAATTAGCTTTCTTATGAGCATTGCAGTCTGCTAACGCACATGCTTGTTCCGCGATTATCTTCTCTACTTCTCAGAGTCTGGCCTTCATAGCAGGGCTCTGGAGGCGGAGCTTGGAGTTGTGACGTTGGAAATCTCACTGTGTCTGTGCCTGCCGTTTGGGTCTGCCAGAGATTCACAGCGATTTGAATGAAAAAATGCTAAGAAATGCAGTTTTGCACTTACTTTTCTCATGATATGTCTCTTAGCATCAGAAAAAGGCCATAAAAACATGTAGACAACAAGAAAAACATGATTTTCATTGGAGTGAGTCTTTAACTAGCTCTCTTTTGTGTAATTATATTCAGAGGGTTTAATTGAGATATAAAACTGTGAATCCTTCACAGTGAAGGGAGATATTTTCTGAAGCCACTTACAGTTTAACCCGTAGTGTCAAACGGGTAACTTCAGAGTCAACAATGGAGTTGATGTAAAAAAAAAAAAAAATGGTTTTAAAGAGCAAAATACCTGCTGCACTCCCTCACAAGTATCTGTTAAAAAAATCAGCAATTATAGCTAAAATCAGATGAGTGCCAGGTGCATATGGACTGTATTCTACCTTTTTGGCCCTATACACCGATTTTCCAGTGCACAGAAACATTATTAACACCATGTTTTCTGATAAAAACCAGAGCCCATCTGATACAAATATCTGCTCAGACAACAGAGGTTAAAATGTGTGTCCTATGTCGTCTATATTGCGTCATTGGCTCAACTGAATGTTTGTCATGCTGTCTCAAGGCTAAATCTCTGCTATTGATTTCACTGCTGCACATTTATCACAGGTGTCGATACTCCTGTTTGTCCTGTTGCGGTCATGACTTTTCTGTGTCTTCATCTGATTGTCTTCATCCACGTGTCGCTAAAAGAGAAGGGAAAGGATGCTGTTTCATCAGCAGAATTTTAACTTAGAGGACAGGTGAGCCAGTGTGGTTACAGCTGCCCTGTGGCCTTTCCCCCCTCTCTTTATGTGCAGAGGAACAGCACGTAGTCACTCAGGGGATGAGCTGAAGCATCACTCCATCCTTATTTGTCCGTCTCTCTCCTACGCAAGCAATCTCACACCCAGAGGGGAACAGGCTAAGGTGTCAGTACATTGCCACAGTTTAGACTGTACCATCTACACACAGAAAAGGGGGAAGCAGGCAGAGGAAGTTAAATGGTGATTCTTGATAAAGCTAAGCTGTAAAAGATACAACCCCTAAGACAGAGATCAGAATCAACCCTCCGGTGTTCGTCAGTGTGTTTAATTTGTGACATGGCAACCTGGCTCTCCTGAGGGTGGGGACTGAAGGGCTGGTGTTTGGCTGATAGTGAATGGTGTTTTCACAACATCATTCATCACAGATACATCAGCTCCATTCACAAATTACACTTCAGCTTACAAACTGGCAGGGAAAATGTTAAGTCTCACCTGCTCCAAAGCCAAGTTCAACATCCAGAATAAAGCTAATATCAGATGGTGCTATCTTGGACTATGTCAGTGCGTATGAGTGCAATCTGTCTTTTCACTAATAACTGGATCTTATGCAGTCCAACTACACAGAACTAAACCCTTTTAGATGGTGTTAAAAGGCTCCATAAATCACAGCCAGTCTGATGGCTCATTACCTCCCTGTTCAGAGCTCCAGTTTAACAACACAAGATATCAGGACTCAGTCCAAGGCCATCCCCGCAGCCTCTCTGTCAAGAGGAGAATAAAAATACAGCTAGCTCAAGGTCAAGATGTTTTGGGTCAGAGTTGTGATGATGGAGAGCTGTGTGGAGGTTGTGCTCCAGAGGCACCATTTGTCAGATATGAGATGCGTTTCTTTTCTCTATGTAGAGTCTGCCTCAATGATTCAGTACCACCCTCTGAGAAATATGACCTGTGGTTATTTAAGCAGCTTAAGGTGAGTAATACTGCTGCACAGGCACACAGTGTCTCCTGTTGCATAATTTAAAGGTGTGATAAACTACCTGTTTACAAGTCGAGTAACACGTCAGAAGCGATGAACCACAGGCATGAAAACAGAGAATGTGTAAAAGTTGTATTTTGCAGAGGAGAGGAGAGGATAGGACAGCAGAGGGAGGGAGGGAGCGCCTTTAGGTACAGGGAAGGAGGGGAAAAATAGAAAGGGAGGAAAAATGCTCACAGAGTGAGTAACATCATATGATCTGGGGTTGCCATGGCAACTGATCCCAGCAGTCAGCCCTTGGAAAGTGAGTCACATGAGTGAATTGAAGGAGACAGGAAACATACTGCGCATACGTTGTTGGTTGATGCAGTGCTACTGGTCCATGTGAGGGAGTAGCAGAGTGTGTTTTTGTGGGTGTCTTGTGATAACAGAAGAAAACAGCCCAGGGTCAGCATGTACAGTAGAATCAGGATCTGTGTTTCACTATAACAATCTGAAACTTAGAGAATGGGAAAGATAAACTTTGCACAAATGTTGTAATGAAAGGCACATAGATATTAATAGAAAATCTCTCTTGCAAAAACACGTCACTGTCTGTCACAGTAGTGGCACATTCCTCCTCCATGTACCATAATCCCTCAAACAGTGTTTATGTCTAGTTTTGACTCACACTCTCTGACAGCTTTATTTTCTCTCTCTTGGCTTTTTTAGAGACAGACAGGGATGTTCTCTTAAGAAAACACTGCATTTTAGGCTGCAGCTGCACCATTTAGTCTCAGCTTATTTGAGACACTTGGTAGATTAAAAAGCAAATTCCCCTGAGTTGTCTTGATGTGATACACAAACACTTTTTTTGGCAAAAAAATATGACTAAAACATTAAAAAAATCTCTATTAAAAAATAAATAAGTGAGAAAATAGAGAAGAATTGAGTGTGAAGCTGAGGCAGACAGAGCCAAGGGCATAATAAATTGCTGATGTCATGGAGAAAAATGACTGTGCCACAAATTGTCTTCACTTGAGAAACGTCTACTGGGAAGTCCTGCTGTTTTATTTGTTGTGTTTCTGGTCCACATCACCGTGGGCACGACAACAAACTCTGACATGTCAATTATCTATCAACATCGAGCAACACCTGTAATAGAGGTCCAATCAGTCCCAACAAATCTGGTCATTTTGGCCAATAACAACAACTATGATAATAATAATAATAATAATAATAATAATAATAATAATAATAATAATAATAACCTCATGAGGGTATTCGTTTTCCTCGGAATTGACTGGGTTGGTGTACCTGATGCACATCAGGTACCTTTGTGACGCTCTCATTTGCATCCTGTGATGACTGCAGATGGCTTTTTTTTAAGGAGGGGGGCAATCGCTGACGTGCGCACGAGCGGGTGAGTCAAACCTGCGTCAGACTTCGTCGTGACTTGCCATAGTAATTTCTCCATCCCAATGGGTGCTGTCTGATTTATCCTATAACAGTACTGCCAGGACCACGTGGAACCCAGAGGTGTGAGCACTTTCTTCTACCGGGCTGTCGAACAACTCCAAAGTGCTGACAGAAGGCTAAACGGTAGCAAGAGGCAATTACCTGCACAAGTTAATGTGATTAGAGTAGCCAAAGTTGTGGCAGGCGTCGTGCTCCTGCGTCAGACTTTACGCACCATGCGCCCTGTGTGACTGGAGGCTCTGTGATTTGGCATCTCTGTGCGCGCAGAGATGTTGCATCCGGAGACAGTGCCTGAATGAAGATAACCCACGCTCACTGTGGATTCGTACTGTCACATTGAATCGGACGTGAGCCATCGTTCCGCACACTACACACGGTAAGAATTAAATATTTTCAAACATTTTCACCCAGATATACCGTGTGATTGATATGCATAGACGAGTAGAAAGTCTTGTCGTAAATCGTCCTCATAACCAGCGATCACTTGACCTTATGCTATCCGTTATAATTGCTTCAAAAACGGAGTCTCTGCTTTCACTTTCATCACCTGATGGATGGAGATTTCGCCGCAGCGTTGACGGCAAGCGACGCTCGTTAATCCTCTGCGTTTGACGACGCCGCGCCATGTGAGTCCACATTTGGCTCGATTTAGACCAAATCTGCAGGGCTGCTGATCACCTGCTGACTTGTATTGGTTTTGTCTGCATCTCCGCCTTTTTACAGCCGAGTCTAATTACAGGATTCATTTGACCTTGACAAGGCGTCAGAGGTTATTTGTAGGCAGAGAATGAGCCTCAAGCTCTGGTTGGTGGGCCTGTGTGTGTGTGTGTTTGTGTGTGTGTGAGTGATCCTCGAACACGGACGTGCAGGTGCTCTAATGTACCTGTCACCATCACTGAGGCTCACTATCATTCCTACTGGGATCCACTGGCATCTGCACAAACCTTGTGTTTGACAGTGACACCACCCTCTATTTACAAAACCTTTAAGAGAAAAATGGATGTGATGTTTCCCTGAGTGACAATGAAATAGATGCCACTGTCCCATCACCTCCAGCTTTTGCAATAATCTGTCACCCCTCTCCACCCTGCTTATTTGCAGCTAAGCCTCTGGAGAGATCCTCTATCCATTTGAGATCCTGAGAGAAGAGATAGGCGACCATTGAAGCTACAGGGATGGGATTTCAATTTTGCAGGAAGAGCTATTGCTTAGCAACCAGACAGGATAAAAGGAGAACCTGTGCTGTTACATCATCAACTCTCAGCTGTCTGTGAAGAGTTGGGAATACATAGTTCCAGGAGGAAGAGGAAAAACACACAGCTTGTGCACATGTTGGTCTTAGCGGTTATTCCTTTTAAAGCAGAAGACTCTGCTGAACTTTTTCTCTGCACCTTTGACTTCACCTCACTCTCTATGTTCCCCTCCCACTGCAGACTGAATTCTGAGTCATAATGTGTAGCAGTGTCTTGAACTGTATGTGAAGTCCTGCTGTCTCTGTTACATGCCATCTGTGTCAGCACATAATGTGAAACCCACTAAATTTCTGGTGTTTTCTTCATCCACACTGAGTGTTTTCACTGCACATTATTAGAAAACCAGGAGGGAAACGGAAAAAAATCAGCCCCTTGTGTTAAACAGATATTACACTCTGACCTATAAGTAGAAACTGGGACAGTTTGTTCTCAATTACACATAAGTTTTTCTATTTGTGTTTTGAAGAAATAGGGCAGAGCACAGTGTGAACTCAACTTCTACTCATCTCCAAATATTTTAAACTTGGCCACTCAACCAAAAATAAAGGACCGGTGTAGTTTGCAAACATGCTCATCATGACTTCACACTTTATTCTGATGTTGTTCGATGATGACTCAGTATTGTGAGGTCGTAGACTGCTGTGGAAAAGGTCACAGACGCTCACAGGACTGTGCAAAGCTCCTCTGTGAGCCTCGGCGTGTCGTGACTGCAGGGGCTTATTGCCACCGTTGAGGAATGTGATGTGCGTGCTACTGGTACGGCCTCTGGGTGGGTTTAGAGTCCTGTCTGCTGGCAGCTGTTCTGGAGGAGTCACTGTGAATAAAACCCCTGCTCTGATTTTGGTCAGCTGCATCTGTTTTCAGATTAAAGGCCTTGTCTTCGGATCAAAAACCTCTGACTTCAATTCTCCCCTATTGAGCTGCTGCAATAAAGAGCTAGTTCCCATCAAATCCAGCCAGCTCAACTGACAATCTGTATTTGGAGTCTGCTTTTTATCATGTTCTGCCCCTATAGCTGTCTCTGCAGCAATTCAAGGTTGTCTGCATCGTTTATTTGTCGCTTGACCTTCAGTTAATTAGTTTTTGTAGCCTGTGGTAAAGTGCTCACTCCTGATCCTGCATGATTTTGTTGTCATTTTTAAACATAGTTCTTTGAGGGCGAAGTGGCAAAGTGTTACGAAGTGTTTCATATTTGCAGCTAATATTTTCTTAATGACTTGTAAGATCTGCAGTTTTTCCTGTTTATAACGGAGAAGCTGAGGAACTTCAAACACAAACACCATGTAGTGCAAGTGATTATTTTTGCATAAAGGAACATCTACAGAGAGAAACCTTGGACTGTTTCATATTCCATACCATGTTTCCTCGAAGGATGAGCCACACATAGAGGTGAAGGATTATTCGTGGATTTTTGTAGAAGTCGTGAAGTCCCAACACTTGCCACATAAATCCAGGACTAATTTATTAGACAGATTTTCTGTGTAATTGTTAATGCAGAGGGAGTGGACTACTGGACTCTAATACTCTGAAATCTGTAAGCAATGCTGCAGAAAAGATGTTGAAGCTGCATGATGGGAAAAATACAGACACTAGAAACCTGAAGGCTTCAGTTCGTGTCATCCTCCCAGCAGTAACACAGACAAGCTGCCGTTCATGATACTCACATGACTCAAAGTATAATGGCTCTGCTGTGAAATGGATTGTAATTCAATCTGTGGTTCTTGTTATCCATAATGAAGTGGATTACTGAAATACCTCACTTATGGCTCTAAAGTACTGCAATTTTACTACCATTTTAAAATACTGGATGTACAAAACAGTAAACAGGAAACTGTGGAAGAATTAAGTCAGTGCAGTTTCTGAATGATTTGGCTGATTTTAAACAAATGATTATGTCTATAAATCAAGTGATGAATATTATCAGAAATAAGTAATAATGCAGTAATGCAGTTTTTCAAAGCCAGTAAGGATGCAAGCAAATATCAAGTTATCCTAAAGAGTATGAAGAGGAATAAGGTTATTTTCAAAACATCTGAACATGCAGAGAATATGTTCTTTAAAGAGTCTGGAGGCAGGGAATTATGCTGCGTTCCAGTTACCTCAGAAGTCGGATGTCAGAGCTGGGAATGACACTACTCCTGAGTTGACGGTGTTCCAATAAACAAGTCGGAAAACCAAGATGGACACCTACAGTTAGCCATTGATAGCTGTTGTTTACAATTGTCAGCTGTTGTTCACCGTTGTCAGCTGTTCTTAGTTGTTGTTCGTGACACCAGTTGTAAACGATGTATAACACAGTATTTTACTCTTACAAACACCATAGCACCGTGTTCACAGTTAGACGTTGGGCAGTACAACATATACCACTTATTTAATTTCACAAAAACAAAACAGAAGTGCTAATAAATAATACATTACGAGAGCTTTTACTGTTACTCTTTACTGTTGATGCACTGCGCTGCCATCTTGGATTATGACGTTGTCGTCAAGTCGGGTTGGTGAGGATCGTCCAACTTTCCGAGTCAGAAATCCGACTTCAGCGGGGCGTTTCAAATATATTTCCTACTCGGAGCTCAGAAATTCTGACTTCCAAGTACAACTGGAATGCAGCATTACTTTGCATATTTTTGTATATCTATGGCCTGTTTGTAGGTTCCCATTATACAGAGACAATAGTTCTCTAACATCGATGCATGTCTACCAACCAACACTCCTCAGCTGTCATGTCTATAAAGTCAAAAAAAGCCCCAAGATAAAAGATCTTACAATAGTTGTTGTGTTGATGTTTTCTTATCTTTCTTTCTTCTTGGTTTCTTATCAATGAAAGTCAGTTTGGAGGGGAAAAACAAATGATCATGTTTTCCTGTCTGTCTCCAACTCTCTCTTTACAGATTTCAGACAGAAGCACAACTTTTCTCCCCTGATACTTCCCTTGCTTCCTGTAAGTCACCTCGCCTGCTCCTGTCTTCACCCTGAAGGAGCTTCGGTGTTGCAGCCATGCCAAAGAACACCAAGGTGACCCAGAAGGAGCACAGCAATGAGGCGGTCACTGAGTCTGTGGCTGACCTGCTGTCCCTGGAGCACCCTATGGACTATAAGAGCAGTCAGATCAGCATGGGTCTGAGCCCCGGCTCCACAGCTCCAGGGAAGGCTCTGCTGCCCTCCCCTGACCCAGATGCCGAGGATGGCAGACCAGCTTGGAACAACAAGTTGGAGTATATTCTGGCCCAGGTGGGCTTCTCTGTGGGCCTGGGTAATGTGTGGAGGTTCCCCTACCTGTGCCAGAAGAACGGTGGAGGTAGGTAGATGCCTACCTGAACCTTATTTTGGTCTACTTTTAAAGCTCACTGTCTGTGTGACTCAAAAAAGCTGAAATATAGCATAGTAACACTTTCTGTGTTTGGAAGTAACCTCTTCATCAGGTCGCCCTTTGTTAACTTTGGTCGCCACAGGGTGCTGACTGTGTAATTGTTAACAAGAATGATGGAGCTGAGTCAGTGCTGTAAATGTGAATTCCTTTTTATTATTTCAGTTAAGTGCTCATTAAAATCAGCCCTCAGATGGGAAAGGTTAACATAATAGCATGTAACTATTTGGATCTTTTTTTAATTCCTTTTATGTGAGAATGGCTTTTGTATTTTCCTGTCTGCTGTTGTATCCAGGTTCCTTAAACTCCTCGCTGAGACATGATTTGATTGAGGAAGCCCATTGGAGCCTGTGATTGGCAGCAAATTTAATGCTGTGAAGCTCTATCACATAAAACCATCATTCATGCCACATTACTCAAAGTAATACAGTTTTACTGTAGCAAATTTGACAACTTTAGTTGTTCTACAATCTCTGTCCAGTTGAAGCACAGACAGAACTTTGTTAATTTAACCCTATCCTGTAAATACCTGAGTTCATTAATGAAGGAGTTTGCAATCAGAAATTTATGACTAAAACTGTTCACATAGTAACAGTTTATTGCTCAGGTGAAAGCTAGCAGCTGTCAGTTAGCTTAGCGACGGACTACGGTAGCAAGTTTTGAAACAGCGTAAAAAGCTCATCACTGCACCTTTCAACACCATGGTGAGTGCCTCACCAGTGAAAGGCCAAACCTTCTACGTGACTGTACCCACTGTTTGTGTTTGCTCAGTTTGACATGGCTTTGTATGTTTCCTTTTCTACCATGGGCAACTGGAAATGGACACAGGCATTGTGTGCAAAACTCAGCATAATTGTTGTCTAGCACTTTTTGAAAGGAGGTTGACTCTTCTGAGCTCTTTGGAAAATGCTGACTTTTTTTTTAACTTGACATCCAGCCTACCTGGTATTACCAGCAGATCTTGGTAGGCTGGTCTTAGCAGCAGCTGCATGCAAAGATTGACTGACACATGTACAGACAAATCAGTATTAAACCTTTTGGTCCATTATGGATATTTTCTATAGGTTGAAGCATGGCAATGGCATTGATTTACTTAAACCAAGACCAATTGTTGCATTTTTCATGTGTGTTTTAACGTGTTAAAACAAGGACAGGACTTGTTCTGAATCAGGATATATATATATATGGGGATTTACAACATTTGGTTGCTCAATTTAAATGAGAGAGGATGACGTTTTGATTCCATTAAAAATGACAAGTCACAGAGGCAGTCAACATTTCTCAGGCTTGTGAACTTGTGCCATCAGCAGAGATTGTTTTTCCAAACAAAGTGAGGGAACATTGCGGTGTCTTCTGTACTGATTTAAATTTAGTCTGCTTTTGGTTTTCATGCAGTATTCTCAGCCTGTATCTCTTTGGTGTTATAATTCACTGGTATTATGGAGAGATTAGAGGGTGGTGATGACTAAGATGGAGGACGAGGAAGAGTAAACGCTGATTTCCTCAGCTACCGACATTGTTGTCTCTACCTTGTGTGGGAGGTGTGTGCACAGAGGGTATTTGAGATGCATGATATAACAAAGCGTTATCAAATCATTGTAATCAGTGTGTGTCTGCGTTTGTGTGTTTGTGTAGGGTAGTGCGTATCCCCAGCTGAATTTGGACTCAGTAGGTGGTGTTACATTGTCTTGTCTGGACTTGTTGTAGAGATAAGGACTGACTGTCTATAGTCCACATTTGCCATAACTCTCTCTGTCTTTGTTTACTCATCATTGATCATTTTAAATGTTAACCTCTGAATATCCAGCACACTTTTGTGTTCTTACGCACATTTGAGGTGGAAATGACTTTGGACATTTAAGACATATGGTAAAGCTAATACGCTTAAACAGGGCTTGTTTGAGCTTCTGTAGCTTCTATGTCAGGTATGTGTACACATGTGTACTCGACACCAAACCCTTCACATGACCACAAGAATCCTGGCTGTGTGTTTGAACTCTAACCTGCTTCTCCCCCTCTCTGCTTTAACATCCTGAGCTCTGAATGCTCAACATTAATCTGGTTCTGCTCAAAGTTTCTGTCTGTTAAAGGGCGTTTTGCCTTGATACCATATGCTGCATCTCTGCTGGGGGTGTGTCCCTTGAACATTGGTATCTGCTGTTACTTGCCTTATTGGCAGACACCGATCTATTGGCAAACTATGCTCCATGCTATCAGTAACTTATTCCATGTTATATTTATCCTCTCTGCGTGAATTAAACACTGATGAGTTAAAAGACTTCATTGCTGTTTCAGATAACGGTTTGTTTTATGCGGTAGAAGAAGTCGTGTTGGAAAAAAAGTATTATTTGCTTACATGGTTAAATGCGAAAAAAGACGAGCAAAATCACTCTGTCTCTGAAAGATCAGAAACATGCAGTTTGTTAGACTGATATTATGAGAGGGAGTGATACCAGCAATGATTTTAAACACAAAGAATTTCTTCAAAGTAATACGAAACAAACTGGTAGTCCTCAAACTGTTATTATGAACGTTGGTGTTGGTATCAGCTCTGATTTTCTTACACCTTCAGTCTGGACCTGCTCCTCATGTAAAATGCTTTTTATACCCTTTAGTTTGGAGAGAGGCAGTACAAAGGTTTTACCTTATGTATTGTTCAAGTTGCTGCTGCTGCAGTGATTTCCATCCTTGGAATATATATTAAGAGAATAATTGGAAAATCCCTAAGAACCAAATGTTTTCAGCCTTACAGTCACACTTGGTCACCATCAGTTCATAGATGTTTGCTTTGTTTATGACAGCCCATGACCTGCAAAGAGCCGTTTTATTCTGACAAGTATTCAGTGTCTTGGACATGAACACAAAGTACTGCAGTGTAAGCATCCACAGATTTGTAAGCCTTGAGTTTTTTCTGTCGTACAGCAGCCTGGTTTCTCAACAATAGTTATGCGGATGTCCGGACATCGTAACACAGACCATTTAGTTGGCTCCTTGAACCACAGACCTGGCAGAGAGTAGGGCTCATGGGTGCTTAGAGTGAGCTTTTCCTTAAGAGGCCTCTTAACAGCCTCTTACAAACAATTAAAACTATCTAAGCAGGCGTACAGCTGGTCCGTGGACTGCCAGCCTCTACTCAATCACTTTCTCCCACCACTTTGGCTACGACCACCAAACACGTCATTGATGTCTATTCAATATTCATATCTGAAGTTTCGGGCACTTTCTGCACACTGCACAGAGTTTTCATATCACATGATAACCAAAGAGCTTAAAGAACATTTATTTAATATTCAAACAGAATGAAGTGGATCAATAAGTTGTTTTCTGCAGTACTCTTGTGGCCACTCTTTTCACTTGATCTTCATTATACTGGGTTACAGATGAAATTAATGCTTTTTTTTTTTTTTTTTTTTTACCACTGGTGCTAAATTAAAACACATTTCACTAAAAATAATAAGTTTATCTGTTGTATAGTTTCAATAGAGCTGAATAGAAAAGACATCAAAGATCAGTGAGAGCCGTCACTTCCCAGTGTCCAGATAATAACACAGCTGTGTGACATGACACTGTGTGCTTTCTTTGTCTTTTTTATCTGCTGTTAGCTTTAATAGCCCCTCATAATGCGATCTGTGTTTTTGATCCTGTCTCGTGTCAGAGTCATTTATTTTGGCTCTGTAAACTCCAGGCTTCTTCTCCTAGCTGCTCATCAGTATGTCTAAGTGTGTGTGTGTGTGTGTGTGTGTGTGTGTGTGTGTGTGTGTGTGTGTGTGTGTGTGTGTGTGTGTGTGTGTGGATGGTTTTGTCACCATGGTGTCCCTTCATGTTTTGACGTCAGCCAGGCTGGAAACGATGAGTTGTCTCTGAGTGTCTGCTGCTCTCTCTTTGTCGATAGTTTTATCTGACAAAGGGATGAAGAGACACGACTATAAAGAGGAAGGGGTAAAGGAAAACAAAATTTGAGGGAGTGAAAGGAAATTGTAAAATAGAGAGTACAGGAAATTGACTCCAAAAATAGAGGCTGACAGAAAAGATTTCCCTTCAGCTATTTGATAGAGGCTTTGTTCTTTTATATACACAGGGTTCAAACAAAGCATAGACACATGCAACAAGCCAAAGCAGCAGGATGATCTTCACTCAAACCATTATACTCTTTTCTTTCTGTGTCTATATAGGTGCATACCTTGTGCCCTACTTTATCCTCCTTATCATCATCGGCATCCCCTTGTTCTTTCTGGAGCTGGCCGTGGGTCAGAGGATCAGACGTGGCAGCATCGGGGTGTGGAACTACGTCTACCCACAGCTGGGGGGCATCGGCGTCTCCAGTCTGATGGTAAGTACAAACATAAACGTAGTAACCAGTTTAGTCTAGATGATGGGTGAACTTGTAATGGAGAGCTCAATACACAAAGTCACAAATATGGGAAAACAAGTAAAATAGTCCTTGGTTTAAAATGGATGTTTCCATCTGTCTTTGGCCTGATGCAAAAATTTCCATGATCCCCTTACAGTGGGTATTGAAGAAGAAGAGTGAAAACAGAAATCTGAATCAAAGAGATCACCATTTTTTTTCCACAATAGTTTCTGATTTCATCAAAAATTGACCTCTAAATGAAAGAGGTAGTATAATGCTCACACACATTTACAACAAAAAATGCGACACTCTCTCTAACATGCTTGTGTCAAGGGACAACAGCTAAAACAAAGCTGAAATATCAGTGTTTTAATACACCAGAGTAAGAAACATGAAGCTTTTTTTATGTGAACTCATGTAAAAGAGCTTAAAGAGTCTAAATAGAAAGGATAGAGTCTGAATGAAAAGGCATTATACTCCTTATTTAAGGTGAACAGATTTAGTACTCGGTATAAAATTTGTTCTGATCAGGAAATAGTGCTTGTTTTATTTTCTACTTAAAAACATCTTTGTCTGAATAAGTTGCTCTTAAATGGTTAAAAAATGAAGCTTATATGTACGTATACTTTTGATTAAAAACCTCTGGTGCAAGACTAGATGCAAGTCTAGTGTGTGTGTGTGTGGGGGGGGGGGGGGGTCCTTTAAATGAATTTCCTCCAAGTCCTCATATGTTGCACAGCATGTATCATAGTCTGCAGAGATTTATTACAGACTGTGGTTTCCCCCCAACCATTTTACTGGATTCCAAAACGAATTAACCTCGTTAAGTACAGGCTATGAAATTTGTGTATTTTTTATTCCCGGTGTTACTCAAGGACAAATTCCTGAGAGTAAAGAAAAATGTTTTCCTCTGGTCATTGTGAAATTTGTTTGCCCTTCAGTCTGGATTGAATTTGAAAGGAAAGCTCTTAGACTTTTTCCACCTGTTTATGAACAGACTAATCAACCCTGATCATTGAACAATTGTTTATCAAAAAAATGTTGTAACATTTGAAATAAAATTCCACAAGAAACTGTGTATCACAATAAAGTATCACACAAGAAGGGACACAACAACCTGTATTGTTTTGAGTGCTGACAGACAGATATTTCCTTGTAAGTTGTTCTCAGCCTGTGTGCTGTTTGGCATAAAAATGACTAATTGACCAGTAATTATTAGTTGATTAGAATCAAAAATCATTTCTAATAAAATGGCCACACTTAACCGATTTATGTTGTAATTTTGTCACCTTGCCAACTCAGAGCTACACATGTTTGGTGCACAAATGATACGCATGCTGTAGATTTCAGTCCACTAGTCTCTCTCTGCCATGTCATTTTACATCCTCTTCATGTTAAACAACAAGCGGCGTGCAAAGACCGCGGCTGATCACTGTCATAATCTGTCCCCATCAGCTGCAGGAGCAGTGACCCATCATATCCCTATCCCATCAGCCTTAAATACAGTCAGTCAGCGGCAGATCGCCCAATCCCTGACTCCCAGCGTCAGTTTTTTTTATGGTGATTTCATCAATCACTAGGACTTAAGAGGGGGAGAGGTCCGGTACAGGGCAGTGAGGCGTGTGGCAGCCTGGATGTGGCAGAGAAAGATCCAGCAGCTATAAATACCTCCTCATAGAGGACCCCAGCCTCCGCTGCTGAGAGCAAATAGCTCAATAATTCATATACACACACACACACTGACTTAAGCTGTGTGCTCAGCAGTCGCTCCCTGGCTAAAGGAGGTTTTCACAAGAGCAAACTACATGTTGTAACTGTGTGTTTGTGTGTTGAGACAGAGCTTGTTGCAAGGAGTGATGAGTGTTGCTGTTTTTTCTCCTTTCCCCTCAGGTTTGTGGTTTTGTGGGCCTCTACTACAACGTGATTATCGGCTGGAGCATCTTCTATTTCTTTCAGTCTTTCCAGTATCCACTGCCTTGGGCTGAGTGCCCCATCGTGGTAAATGGGACCCAAGCCAGTGAGTGCAAACACAATGATATTATTGTACTCCTGAATACTCCTGAATTATAAAAAAGATTTGAAGTGAAGGACAAGTGCTCGTAGCATGAAGAAAAACTGCAGAGCCTTGCAAGACAAATCCATATTCAGCAGAGTATCTCAAAAGCCTGATGCTCTGCAGGGTGGTGCTTAAATCTGGAGACCAGTCCCTGGATGCTCTTAATCAAATAGAGCAGCCTTGCTGGCGAGACCGGTCAGATATTTTGAGCCTAACAATGTCAGAATCTCGCATGGCTATCCGCTGGTAGCCTGTGGTGACACATGCAGGTTCTGGCATCAGCTTATATTAGCATTCAAGTCCAGGATGTCGACTGAGGAAACTGATAAGTATCCAACAGGACTCTGCTCCATAGAGTTTCGAAGTTGTAGTGTTGGGGGTTGATGTTTTGCAAGAGTGGTTTCATCTTAATTTGTGTCATACACAAAGGAGACATCTATCTAATACAATTTAAGTTTGGGTGATTTTACGCTTGTAGACTTGAAGAAAGATGGGCAGATGTAGGTCAAGAAAGACAAGAGTGTATACATCAAGGTAGGAAAGAAGACGGTGGGAACGCAAACAGACTTTTTTTAATGCTGTAGGAAAAACACTTCATGATTCAAAAACCTATCAGGGCATCTCTGCGCTCAATAATGAAATGTAGATTCATGTAGGCTTGTTATTATTTGTTTCAGGACAGTTTACTGACATAATTAAAAGTTTTTGCAGATACGAGGGTCAGTGTCTTAAAATATAAAAGTTTAATACAGCCTTTCATCATGGAAAACAGGATCTGGGTCTGAAAGAAACTGATTCAGTAGAAAAAATCGCAGAAGAAAAAAAAAGGCTTTCTGAATTAATTATGGATACACTTTTCAAAACAGGATTGCATATTTTTGCATTTTTCCCAGTATGTAATTCTGTTTAAAAATATGAGCTGTTTTTTGCATTGGCACATTAAAGTGCTCATACATAAATAAACAAACTCTCGACTACCTAAACAACACAGAATTTCTGTATATAACATGAATACAGCAGTGATCATTTTTAAAAGAGCAATGTGAGATTTAAGTTTTTCTTTGCTTTGTTATTTATACATCAAACTTAACCCTGAAGATCCATCTCTTGTACTTTTGTCAGATTGTAGAAGTAAGGAATTAAATGATGCTTTTTAATATGATCTGGATTTTATTTTCCTACCAGTGTCTTGGACTATAACCACAGATGTCCATGCTTTAATCTGTGTATCTTTGGATTTAGATGAGCACATTATCAATTTTCCCTTCTTTTTTTCTAGTCGTAGAGCCAGAGTGTGAGAAGAGCTCAGCTACGACTTACTTCTGGTACAGACAGACTCTCAACATCACCAGCTCCATCGATGACACAGGCGGTCTTAACTGGAAGATGACCCTGTCCCTGCTAGTGGCCTGGATCCTGGTGTGTTTGGCCGTCATCAAGGGCATCCAGTCCTCTGGGAAGGTATGGCTTCACTGCAGGGGCTAAGAATATGAGCTATAGAGATAAGCCCACCAAAGACCAGCGTGCACCACTTCTGTGGAGAGATTTACAGAGTGAATTGTTTTTACCAGAGCTTTATTAATCGATTATTCATCCATTTCTGAGAGTGTTTGATTCACTCTGCTAATGCCAAAGCTAAGATGCTAAAGCCTGTCATCAGCATCAGTCTATTTTTGGATCTCATCTATATTATGGAGGAGACACATGCAACATTAATAAGCTTAAATTGTAAAAAGCAAAGAGTGGTTTGGGATGAAAATGGAAATTGCTTTGTTTGGCAACAACTGCAACAACATCCCATTATCTGCATCCAGAGAGTGAGTCATATAGCACAGCGTAACATCCAGCCCACACTCCTGATAGGAACACGCACTGATCGCCAAGGTCTGACACAGTTTTTCAACACTGAACTCAGTAATTCAGTTATTATTCACAGAGCTGAAATAAAACCCTGAAAAAAAACTCTCTTCAGGATATTTTTGCTCTTTGGATCAAGTCCGGAGGAGTTCTCTCCCCATTTGGTCAGATTTCACAAGTTCAGAGCCAAAAAACACAAAGCAGTGCTGGGATTGATTCATTATCTGTGTGTGTGTGTGTGTGTGTGTGTGTGTGTGTGTGTGTGTGTGTGTGTGTGTGTGTGCGTGCGTGTGTGTGTGCGTGCGTGCGTGCGTGCGTGTGTGTGTGTGTGTGTACTCCATGTGAGGCCTCAGACAAGTGTCTCCATGGCAACCCTGTTTAAAGTACTTGACTTTCTCTCCCTCTCTCCCTCCAAGGTGATGTACTTCAGCTCTCTTTTCCCATACGTGGTGCTCTTCTGTTTTCTGGTGCGAGGTCTTCTGCTGAAGGGAGCCGTGGATGGTATAGCTCACATGTTCACCCCAAAGGTGAGAGAAAAGAGGAGATGCTGACTAAAACAACACATGAAACAAAATTACACACAGTTGCCTGAACTGGATTGATGAAAGTGGTTATGATAAGAATTATAATATGTAGCTTGTGTTCGCCAGGATTCATGTGTGATGCTCTCGGTGTCAAAAGTATGTTTATCTAGTCCTCCTTTGGTCCTGATCTGACAGCTACAGAGGTATAGGTGACATTTTGCAGGCTGTCTTGCTTTGAGCGGTTGACGTTCTTCGCTGTTTTACCACCAAGGCCATGTAGATTCTCTCATATCAAAATGGCATTAAAAAATAGGAGCACTGTCATGTATTGGGTTAATGTTTCCCTCTACTGGTTAGTATATATCATTACATTTGACAATGCAGCATGAAATTGCAGCATCTTATTGAGGGCAAGGTATCCACATGATACACCAGTTGACTGAGGCCTTAAAGCTCAAACAGGTAAAGTTAAAAAGCAATTGAAATAATAAATAAATAACAAGATTAAGGGAACAGAGTAGATAACTGCCAGTAAATGTTAAGAGTTTTGTTTTAAAAAGCACATTGAAGGAGAAAAGAGCAATGACAAAGAGAACAATGAGAATGAGAAACAAACTATTAGAAACATAGTAGGAAATGGGATAAGATGAAAAGTTTGAAAAAAAAGAGAGAGATATCACATAAAAGCCAATCTATGAAACAGTTTTTTTAAAGATGTGACTGATTCTGTGAGCCTCATCCCCTCAGGCAGGTTGGTTCAAAGTCGAGGGGCCCTGATGGAAAAGGTCACCCATAGTTTTGGATCTCGACTTTGGACCAGCCAGGACGGTCCTACCTGAGGATCCAAGGCCATGGGCTGGCTCATAGGGGGTCAACATTTCAGATATGTAGTTTGGAGCAAAGCCTATACAGGCCTTAAAAGTATTCAGTAAAATTTTAAAATCAATTCTAACATTTATAAGGAGGCAATGTAGAGAGGCTTAAGTGGAAGCAGCTGCTGCATTTTGGATCAGTTTAAAAATAGATAGAGGTTTATGTCTGCCACTGGACAGAAGAGAGTCACAGAAATGAAGCGTGGAGGAGATGAGCACATAAATGACTCTGAGATCCGGTTAAGAGAGCATTGATTTAATTTCAGAGATGGTGTGTTAATGATTGCAGTGTGATTATGTGACTATTCTTATCTGGTTTTGAATATATGTGGTTTTCTTATATGAAAGTTTTGGCATGGAGTATTACTTGTGCTTTCCTAAATCATCCCCAAGAGACTAATAAAGGACTAGAGCCTTGCTGGTGTTTTACCTTTAAGTAATATTAAAATAGTTATTGCTTTAAATTTTGTTTTGGCACAAGTTTTCTTATCTGCTCCAGTGTCATCTTTTTTACAGACATAAATGATATCATAGAAAAGCTAGTTTGGATGACAGCATCAGTGTCAGGTTAGGTTATTTTTAAGAGGATGAATTACATTTCAAGTTAATCTGACACTAATCTCTGAAATGTCACCCTCTCTTCTCTCCAGCTGGAAAAGATGTTGGAGCCGCAGGTGTGGAGAGAAGCAGCCACGCAGGTCTTCTTTGCTCTCGGTCTGGGCTTCGGAGGCGTCATCGCTTTCTCCAGCTACAACAAGCGAGACAACAACTGCCACTTTGATGCTACGCTCGTCTCCGTCATTAACTTTGTCACCTCCATCCTGGCCACTTTAGTTGTGTTTGCTGTCCTGGGGTTCAAGGCCAATGTCATGAATGAGAAGTGTGTTGTCGAGTGAGTACGTCCTAAGAAATAAACTGATCCGCCTTTCTTTAGCAGCTCTTTTTATTCTTAACTGGGTTGTGTATGCCCTGTTTCCTCTTTCAATTTCTCACATGTAGCAATGCAGAGAAGATCCTGGGCTACCTGAACACAGGTGTGCTGAGCAAAGAACTCATCCCTCCTCACATCAACTTTTCCCACCTGTCTGCTCAGGACTACGCAGAGATGTATGGAGTTATTAAGACAGTGAAAGAGGAAAACTTTGGACAGCTGGGCCTGGATGCCTGCGTGCTGGAGGATGAACTCAATAAGGTCAGAAGCTGAAAGAGAGATTTATCACAGAGTGCTAATGAATAATAACCAAAGTACTAGATGATTTTATGGTTAATCTACACTACAGGCCAAAAGTTTGGAAGCAAGGCCATTACAGGCCGAATAGTTGGGAGTAACTTCAAGTTTTTGTTCACAATGCTTTATTTACAATCCAGCATGAGTTTTATGTATTTTGGGATGTATTTACTCCATGATCAGATGTTGCTTTCATGGAAATGCACCATTTGACTCCATTTACCTTTAGATATACATTGATGTTAACAGACCATTGTTAAATATATGTCAGTAAAAGATAATAAGGGCTTAGTTTTAGGGTTGAAAACATTTGCAAGAGTCACAACTTCAGTGCAAAAGCAAAAAAACAAATCACAGTTGGATTTTTCACTTCAACTTTTTGGCTTTTGAGAGTCTGCATGCAGAAATCCTAATAAATCTCAACTGCGTTCAAACTACCGCGAAAATGGCTAGAAAGAAGCAACTGAGTAAAGAAACAAAAGTACAGATTTGTACATTGTGGAAAGAAGGATACACAGAAAGAGAAGATAGAAAAAGACCTGGAAGAAAGAGAGTTACTACAAAAGCAGAGGATGAACATAGCATTGTCACCAGTAAGAGAGATCGGCAAAAGACAGCACCACAAATAAGGGAGGAAGTCAATGTGACAAGGTCGAAACCCATATCTCTGACAACCGTGAAATTACGTTTGAGAAAGGCTGGTCTGAAGGGTTGTGTATTTGTAAAAAAAAAAAAAAAAAAACACTACTTCATCCACAGAACAAGAAAAAGAGATATGAGTGGGCAAAAGCTTACAAAAATTGGACTTATGATGACTAGAAACAAGTTTGCACTGTTTGGTTCAAAACGCAGAGTCTATGTCCGCAGACAAACTGATGAACGTCTGAAAGCACCATGTGTTACACCCACAATTCAGCATGGAGGTGGTAGTTCCATGGTATGGGGATGTTTTGCAGGTGATGGAGTAGGAGGTTTGTTTGAAGTAAAGGGTATCCTGAAGAAAGAACAGTACCACTCCATCCTCCAGCACCATGCTGTTCCATCTGGACTCAGACCTGTGGCTCATAAGTTTGTTTTGCAGCAAGACAGTGACCCTAAGCACTCTGCCGAGCTCTGTCAGGGTTACCTAGACAAAAAAGAAGAGGAAGGTGTTCTTCAAAAGATGGTTTGGCCCCCTCAGTCTCCAGACCTTTCTCCAACTGAGCTTGTGCGGGATGAATTGGATCAATCGGTCCGAAAAACACGCCCCACGAATCTGCAGTCTCTTCTTAATAAACTTAAGAAAGCTTGGAATGCAATCCCTGGAACATACCTTAAAAAACTTGTGGAACGAATGCCTGGTATATGCCAAGCTGTTGTTAAAGCCAGAGGAGGTTACTTTAAAGAAAGCAAAGTCTAAGCAACAATAACTCAAATACCTCATAATTATAGTCAAAATGTCTTCTGATAAGTTACTCTTTACACAATAGTCATGTTTATTGTGTTGCAAATTATATATATATGGAACTATGATTTTTTTTGTACAATTCTGATCTTGCTTCCAAACTTTTGGCCTGTAGTGTAGATTTCGTCCTTAACCCTCCATCCTCCTGTCTTTGTCCCCTAGGCGGTTCAGGGCACTGGACTGGCCTTTATCGCCTTCACAGAGGCCATGACACATTTCCCAGCCAGCCCCTTTTGGTCCGTCATGTTCTTCTTCATGCTCATCAACTTGGGTTTGGGAAGTATGATTGGAACAATGACCGGCATCACCACACCCATACTTGATGCTTTCAAGATCCGCAAAGAGATCTTGTGCGGTGAGCTTCAGTGATTCAGTTCTGGGTATCAAGCTCAGTTTCTTGTGCTTGATTCGGTTTGAGTGTTTGATATTCTCATTACATGGTGTTTCTTTGTCTTTTTCTCAGTGGCCTGCTGCATCATTGCCTTCTTGTTAGGCTTGCTGTTTGTGCAGCGTTCAGGAAACTACTTCGTCACCATGTTTGACGATTACTCCGCTGGTTTACCTCTGACTGTGGTGGTTATTCTGGAGAACATATCTGTGGCCTGGATCTACGGCACCAAGAGGTAAGTAAAGGACAAAGATCCAAGCAACTTTTGAAGATAGCTTTCCTTTATTGAGGTAGAAGAAGTTAAGATTCTTAAATAGCTTTGCCTAAAATTTGGTGTTTCCATTGGATTAAATTATGGTGATTCAGGTATTTTTTTATTGTTTTTTTTATTTTTATTGTTTTATTTACAAATCCATCAAACACTTAACATGAAACTAATGGCATTTCCATTGGCCTTCGCTTAACTTGTGCACAGTATTTAGTGCTGATGAACAAGCGCAAGCACTGGGTGCCAATTTAATGTTAATCATTGAAAGCCTTTATTTTTTGCAAATAGTGCAAAGACAACACATCAAATGTTGAAACAGAAAAGTTTTACTGTTATAGGCCTATTTTCTATTTGATGACAGCAGCATGTTTCAAAACTGTCAAGACCTGTTGCCTCCCCTCTGCTTTAAACAATGCTTTGTAAATATCTAGAAACTGAGGTGACAAGTTGGGACTACAGGCAGGCGTATACCATTCACAAAATTATGGGATTTTTCCCATAAATGCTGAATGACCTCTGCACCGATTAAAAGCTGTGAGGTCTCTCTTCTCTCTCGAGCATAGGATTCCCAAAAGTTGTAGGATCTTCTTCATGTATAGTTTCCTTTTTACATGTGTTACACCCCTGGCTCAGGGGGAAGCAACATTAAGGAGTTAAGACCAGTAAAGCAAAATAATAATGTTTATTGATAACAAAGGATCTTGTCAAACAGATATAAAGGTGTCAGGCTGTGCTGCATGTCCTTTCTGCAGGTAGAGAGAGAGTGGGAGGAGCTTCAGGTGAGCCTTTTACACTCCAGCCACAGGTGGCAGGTATCAGCAGCAAATGAGGGAGTCAAGGGTAACCTCAGAGAGAAAAAAAATTATAATTTTGCCCATAACACATGGTGTAGTTTTAACCCAACCTTGTCTCCTCTGTACAAAGAGTTCTCCAGTTTCAGATGAATAGGCTTTACATGATTAGCAAACCATAAAACTCTGTTTTTGTCACTATATTACACTGAGTCTCAGTCTCAATAGACACTGTGTAAGTGATGGAAATGTCAACTCACTAGAGAATCCATTAAGCACAACAAAAGCTGATGCCATACAAACTGATAAGCACACCCTGAGTGTATACTCTGAATGTTTAGACACAAGACTGAGTATTAACAATAGTCAATAAAGTTAACCTTGAATCTCAACACTGATAGAAGTTTGAGATTTTTCATACATGTTCTTAAAATGGATTAAATTTTTCACTTTCTATTTCAGTGTTTAAATATTAATCTGATTCAATGATGTTGTTAAAAGAGCTATTTTTAATAAAGTCAGATTAATATGCACTGGTTCCAAAGTCTAAAATAATACCTAACCAAATATTGGTGCATGTTTTGGTAGTTAGTACCTCTTTTGGTAAGAAACAGCAAACAGACATCATAAATCTGGTGTCCTTACTTCAAAACCAGACTCACGAAGACAAGCTTCTCTTCAGTCTTTCATCAATCACTTCTTTATTCCACTTCTCGTCTGCTCAAATCAACCATGCTTTTTTTTTCTCATCTTCTGCTCAAAGCGTTAAACAAAAGGTGACTTTGCATTTACGGTCTGTGCCCCCTCCCTGTTAAAAAATAATATATACAAATATTGGACTTAGATACCGTTGGTAGCTGATGGACATTTTTGTTATTCACACAGCCTGAGGTAAGACCTGAATGATGTAGCTTTCCTTCTCTCCCTCTCTCTCACACACAGGTTCATGCAGGACCTTGAGGACATGCTTGGTTTCAGGCCGTATGCCTTCTATTACTACATGTGGAGGTTTGTGTCTCCTGCTGTCCTCGTGGTGCTCATCGTTGCCACCGTCATTGAAATGGCTGTCAGTCCTGCAGGATACAATGCCTGGGTGGAGGCTGAGGTCAGTCCTTTTCCATCTCATTAGTTAAAAAGGGAGGCAGTCACAAGTTTTATTATTCCATCTCTCTTCTTTTTTTGTAAACCTTCATTTCTCTTAACCAGGGTGCAGAAAAATTTCACAGCTATCCTCCCTGGGCGTTAGCCATGGCCTACGCCCTCATTGTGACAGCCATGCTGCCTTTACCCCTCGTCTTCATTGTACGCCGCTTCAACCTGATCTCAGATGGCTCCAACAAGCTGTCTGTCTCCTACCGAAAAGGCATGATGAAGGACATGTCCAACCTCGAGGAGCAGGATGAGCAGCGATTCATCCTCGGCAAGAACCCCAGCGAGGCTCCTTCTCCGATGCCCCCTCATCGCACCTTCCTGAGCCCGGGTGGCGCGCATGAGATGACCAACACCAACTATGGCACCAGCACAAAGACGGGCTACCAGAACATTGGCTCGCCTGAGTCTGAGCTATGATCTCCCAAGCTCTCAGATCCTCCCAGTCCTTTAAACCCTGGCTTACTCAGAGAGAGGCTGGCACAGGGGAGGTCAAGAGGGAAAGAAAATTCACTGCTGTTTGCTGCAACATTCATCACACCTTAACCCGCAGAGCTGAATCCCTCCATCACTCCTTTTTTTTCTCTATCGCTCATCCTCTGTGGTTTCATGCTACTTGTCACCTGCTGAACACCCTGTAATGAGGGGATCATAGGACTGAGTACCTGCTGATTCAACCTTTTCCACCTGCCTGCAGAGTAGAGACCAAGAGATTGAGGAAATAGAGGAAGAAGTGGAGCGTAGAAAGTTTATTTTGAAGGCTCAGATTCAGGCTTTCTTTCCTAATAAGCTCTGGCTGAGGTTTAGGTGTCTGCAATGCTAAAGATTTACTCAATACTGGACTGTACAAGTCTGCTGTTTGCTTTAAGAAGGTCATTTTTAGACAGGTAGATGTTTCCAAATCCTGGAGATCATCATCTTGATCTTGTTTGGTGGTTGAGGATTGTTTTTTTTTGGAGAGAGAATTGAAGGAGACTCACTTTGTTGAACCATTTCTTATCGAAACAACACAAAGATTTCTCCATTAGAGTGTGAAATGATTCTGATGGTGTAAATGGTGTTAGAAGCTAGATACAGCATACGTTTATTGTGCCTCTCATGCATCAGCAATAATATCCAATCAGTTCTGTTCAAAAGTGGATCTCTTTCTATTCTGACTTCTTCCCTCTCATGTAGACTTCTGTAAATATGTGTTGTGCAATAGTCTAAAGATGTCAGTGTAAACCGTGTTTAAACACCACAGTAGTGCAAAGTGAGAGGACAGTTTTTCACCTCTTCATTTTTCTTCTGTGATCACCATAAGCACAGACATCATCAGACATGGTTCAAGTGTCTCTGAGCCTTAACACAGAGCTGCACTTTTCTTTTTTTCAACATCCACTCTCACACCGTGTCGGTGCTGTTCCAGTCACAGCTAGCCCACACAAAGCTTTTCCATTTTAATCAATTAATTCAATCAAGCCTTTCCATTTTAATCAATGCCTTAGAAAGGCTGGGGTTGGGGTCCAGGAGCAGAGATAAGCTTGTGTTTTTATGAGCTTCACGCTTGTCTGTGTGCATATTAGAGCAGAGAAGGAACGGTGAGTTGTTTTTCCTTGTGTATTAGAAGTACATGTGTGTGTATATGTGTGTGTGTGTGCTGGTGTCTGCTGCTGAAGGAGAGCCCCTGATGACCCTGGCAGTTTAAAAATAGAGCAGCGTTACCCGGGGGAAGCCGTGGCAACAAGGCACCACAATAGAGACAGATCCTCATGTGATGTGGAGGAGGACGACGAGGAGAGCGGACACCTTGCTTTGTCTCTTTCACCTGCACAACTGTTTGTGCAGAAACACAGGGATGAGACATTTACCGTCCTTCATGAATATATCTCTGATGTTGTTGTTCTTGATCAGGTGAGACATTCACTGCCATGTGGATTTATCATTCCCTGAGGTTTGGGTTCAGTTGTTGTACATTCCTGAGATGGAGCATCGTTTCATAAGCACTTCTTCAACTACACTTTGATGTCTTTTTGTGGACTGAGGTGAAAATCTAAAGCTTGATCTATTTTTAATGTGTAACCTTGTAAGACTGTGTGTGTTTAAGGGCAAAATGTGGAAGATGTTACATGATCGATGTTTGGCATAAATGGTAATAGATAGGTTTCACCACTTGGGGGCTCTGAAGGACAACAGAAGGGGCGAGAACGTGCTCTCTTGGTATAGTTGCCCCTCCCTGACACTACACCAATACTTGAGACTGAGCAGATGTGGTGAAGCACAGTGAGTCACATTGTTTTGTGCCTGAACAGCCTCTCTGTCGTCTGTTTGCCTTATGCTTTGTCACTTTGTTCTTTGGTTATGTAGTGGTTGAGTGTGTGCAGAGTTTGGACCAACGTCTTCTTGTCTCATTCACCTGAGCACTTTAATTAGTCAGAGACCCTGGAGGTGTTTTTCTTTTAAGGATTTGGCGAAAACATTTGTGAGGTAATGCTGCTTCAAACGTTATACTGGTTAGTGATAGCTACATATGAAGAGATATATTTGGATCTATACCCCTGAATGACATCTGGCAACTTGGCTGTCATTGCAAATGGTCCTTATTAATGCTGTTTTATAAAACTTACATGTATTCTTGGATGAGGAATAATATAATTTCTTACTAAAATGCCATAAAAATCAATGTTTTTCCCCAAAACTTTATTTTTTTACATATTCTTCAATGAACACAATTGTAATTCTAGGATTAAAGTGCAAAAGTTTACATTACAGAGTGACGGGTAGTTAAATTGAACCACCATATAACCAGGACAACGTTTTTTGATGTCTTGAGATACCAGAATATATGCTTGTCTCATCAGAAAAGTCTGACCTGCAGACAGATAGATCTAACTGGACAACATGCACAAGATGCCGGATGATTGTCTGGCTGTTAGCTTGATACATAAAATGGCACAGAACCTAAGGTGAGGACACATCTGCGCTGACCAGCAGCTTTGTCTTCGAGTGAAAGCACACTTATGGAAGCACAGGAAAGAGCACAAAGAGGTCAATGTCACTGCTTTGAGGTAAAAGATAAATAGACATGAAAAAGAAGATTGAGTTTAGTTCCAGTCCTGCAAATTGAAAAATGGTCACTGAAGGATAAGGCTGCACATGTTAAATGTTAGAGCACAACAAAGACTCTTTATGAAATCATTTGGAAACAGATAAAGGCACTGTTTCTCCTCCAGTTAAGGATGCTGTATTCGTGCTGGTGAAGAGGTGGGTCCTGATGTGGTAACTTTTCAATGGGACAAAAAGCCCTTGCAGAACAGCAGGTCAAAACACTTCCACTACTGCTGCACAGAGGGACATGTTTCCTCATAGTAAAAGCTGGAGTAAAGTAGCATCTGCACTGTGTCCATATCCACTCCAGGGTCTCTTTGTCGTGTCCATGTGTTGTTGCTGTGTTGCATTATATACCACAAGGCAACTTGTGGAGGTTAACTCAGTGAAATAACTGAGATTAACTCAATAAAAATAGAGTGAAATTGTGTTTATTTAATCGTGCAAATAGTCTCTATGTGACCAAACCCATAGTTATATTTATAGTATTTAAGAGGATGTATTTAATCTGTACATATTGATGTACATTCTGATAAATTCACATTGAGTATCTCTAGTAAGAGTGACAGGATGTAAACTTGAGCTGTAAATAATAATTGTATATTTTGAGATATTTTTTGATTTTTGTACTGTAGGTAAAGTTTCTTTGGTGTCTGTTGGTTCCTGGTGTTAGTGTGTGGTTGTTCTGGCTGTGACTCTGTGTGAGAGTGTTTGTTTGTGCGTGTATGTGAGTGTGAGTGTGTGTAAAGTAGAGGTATATGTAGGTTTTGATGTTTAAATGTGTGTTTTTTTTCTCCTCTCTCAGTGTTGTGAGCTGCTGATCTAATCTGGTAGATTCAATCCTGTTGTTACAGAGAACTGGGACCACTAATGTAAGCAATCTCCTCTCTGGGTTTCTCACTGAAACCACGAGCAGCTTCCAGCACAAAACTGGCAACACAATCTTAAGACTGTGACTTTGACTGAAATAAAGAGCACAACTTTCATTTGTTGAAGACAGTGATGGACTGAAGGAACAAGGTGGAGGAAACAGGAAATTAAAATAACCACTTTTATCAAAGAGAACATGGCTGTCAGTGTCTTTTGTTGGTATGAGCTCAAATGCAACTAAATTTTTTATTTTGTTTTGTTTTTTCAGACCTGCAATGTTTTATTCTAATATGACCCTTAATGTGGTGTTTGTTATCTCCAGATTTCGGTCAAACAATTAATTATGAGCAATGATCTAATGTGTACACAATGTTTGATCCTTACATGTAATGACGTTTGACCTGATAATAACAGAAATAAGAACAACCACCCAGTAATGGATCACAGCCCTGAAAAATAACAATATATGTATTTTGACTCTTTTGACCCCACATGCCAGCAAAGAGATTATGAGGGAGGACACCGTCAGCAATGAAACATCAAAATATCACAATTTATCATCTCAACATGAGATCGATCATCAAAAACTGAAGTTCTCTCTCATAAATGCCCCTGAATTAAACAGGTTCAATATAAATTGAAATGCTTTTAGACTGTTTATGGTAATATTACTGTAACTTAAATGTATGGGGAGGTAAACTAGCTCTGTTAATCATGTAATAAATATACTACCATTTACAATCTTATAGATGGTGCTGCTTCATCTCAAAGTGCAGCTGATTGTGCTGATGGAGCCGAGGCCTATGTTACACTCTCCGCCAACTGTCATGAAAGTCTGACTGGTCCTATACCCTGCTGAGAAAAAAAACCTGAAGCAAAACCCACTCAACAAGCTTAAAGCTCCTGTGAAGAGTTTGCTTTTGCTTACAAAATAGACTGAAAATCATATTAGAGTCTTTTCATATTATCTAAAAGCAAACAAGACCATATGCAACAAGATTTAAAAATTTTACATCCTATTTTTTCATGCATGAAAGTGGTGTAAAAGGGGTAGGTGTCAGCCGTGCAGCTGAAGGACAAAGATGACCTTTATACCTTGCCTTTATAGCTCATAAATAGGTATTAAGGTTCATTTTAGTCTGTTTCATAGCCAGATAAAAATTCCTCACAGTAGCTTTAAATACTGCAGTCAGAAAGTATAGAGTCTAAGTTGAAGTGCTAAACTGCAACTAACTGCATTGACAACAGTTTTGTTTTGCAATTCTCTTCTCAGACACTGTAAACAAGTTTGGTTGTCAAAGTCTCTGTTAAAAAAAAAGTTAATTAAATACTTCATTTGAATTTGTCCTCTTTTGATCAGTGAACAAGATTGGACTTGACTCGGCTACAGTTATAAAAGTTATCTTTATGGCCCGAAGAAAACCAATGCACCTCTAAATATTCACAGAATAACAAACTGCTCATCAAATAATGTCCAAGATTTAACTAATGTTAATTAAATGTAGTTATAAATTAATATTATTTAAAGTCTCACATATATAATCCAATTGATCATTCTATGTCCTTATTAACAAATGAAAAGGATGCATTAAAAAAAACAAACTTTAATAAAACTTTCTTAAACAATTTAAGTGTCCTTATGATTGTTATCCATTTTTATTTCACACAATAGGACACATTCATGGTGCAGTTCAGAGTTTTGGGTGACCCTTATATTACCTCAAATTTCTGCCCTGAGCATAAATATTTGTAGTTATAACAGTAAAAATGAAAGTTTTACTGAAAGATAAGGGTTTTGGTTTTCTGTTTTGTGAACTACCCTACAAGAGTTAAGACATCGCAGGTTGTATCTGTTTCAAGGCCCACTCTGACGTGTTGAAATGAAAATGAATTGCTGTATTGACGTTTATTAAATTCAGCAGAACCTTTTAAAAGCCTCCTCTGCCCCTCATAACTCCTTCTGACACCCTGGAGCACTTCTCTCAGACATTATCCTGCAACTAATTTGACTGAATCACATCTCAGGCAGCTAGTCAGACATGGACACAGGCTTTTTGGTCTGGTAGCACACACTGGTTCTCACCTTCAGCCTGCCAAACCATGAGATGAAGAGCAGAGTTTTCTGAGTCCAGCAGCACAAATCATGTTCATCCAGCTCTAATATGGCAGCACTGACACAAAGTAGGCCCTCTGCCAGAGTGAAGGCTGCACACACTCATACATCCATTGCAACGCAGACTTATTATAGACTGTCGACAGAGACACATCATCTGCCCTTTGAGCTGCCCGGTCCATCACCTGCTGCCTCTCTACAGCAGCTTCAGTTGTTACAAGTGCTGTGAGATGGTATACTGATCAGCACCAGGGTCAAACAACAGGCACATCAGTCAGTGTGGTGTAAAAAAAAAAGTTCTTGTTGCTGTTTTTAAACGCGCGGCTCCTGTTGCTGGAATAAATGTGCTTAGACATAAAACACAGCTAAGATGATTGCTGTAGTTTCGTTTCTACTGAGGGGAAGTTTTGATTAAAAAAAATAGTCTCCAACAGACTATCCTGGAGTCTGATCTAAATTTTGAATTGCACAACATGCAACAAAGTAAGGACTGATGATGCTGCTGCTGCTGTTGTGTTGTTTTGTGTGCGTAAATGCCAAATTGGTTGTCTTCCAGGCTGCGTCACACTTCCTCCCAGCTGCCTGGTGCACTTTGAAGAAAATCTCACAACTCTGTATCCTGTAAACAGATCATTTCCCAGTACAATGTAGCACACGATACACACAAATAGGCTGAGGTTACATAAAAAGAACACAATCAGTGTACTTGTGCATACGCAGTAATGAGAGTCCCACCTGCAGGTTCCTTTACAGATGTTTATCTACCATCAGCACACCCCTGTAGCCAAGATGCTGCTTCCCCTTTTCCCACTATTCCAGCACCTGATCCAGGAAAAGACTGTGTCAGAGGACATATTTCACACTCTGAGTGGCGTTTTCCTGGCAGACTGGGATTGCGTGGGCAGAGATCCTTCAGTCAGATTCTCACATGGCTCTTTCAGCTGCTGTCGGCTCTCTCAGCGGAGGCCCAGATGGTCCTGTGTGAGGCTGGCTCAGTAGACTGACCCGAGAGCCATGACAGCTCATTACTGTTTGACCAGCAAGTCTTACTGCAAACAAGGCCAAGCTCTGACAGTATCTTAGGTGAACAGGGCCTCATGGTGCTCTGAAGGTAGCAGACACTAATACAGAAATAGACTGAAGTCTTTTAATCAGATCTATTTTAAGGCTTTGAGAAAAACATGTTCGCTTTCACCAAAGCAAGCTGGCAAGGCAGCAGGTTAAAGAGACAATCTTGGCAAACACTTGGATGAATCGTAATAACTTTGATGCATCTCCTGTCATATTTTCTTGTGATACAGTCTCACAATTGGACTTGTGGGACTGTATTATGTGTTTGCAAGGGAGAGAAAATTAAAGAAGGTTGGTTTGGAGACAGGCAAGAGTTACAGGGATATTCCTGTGTTAACATAAATTGTGGTTAAACACACATAACGCCGAGTTAGACACCCCCTTTAGAAATAATTGTTGCCGACTGCTTGCTTCTCTAGTTATACCAACTTTAGTAACAACCGCACGATAGTAATACACAGCGGTCTACACATAGACTGTATATAAGATATATATATCTTATATACAGTCTATGGGTCTACATCTCCACATACAAACTTCAACCAACAAGGTCACTCTATAGTCACAAATAATGCTCAGAACAGCACCCAACTTCATCAACAGTACATATTGGGTCCCAGCCATAGTTCTAGCCATCAAACATCTTTTTAGCTTTGCCTAATTTCTTTAGCAACGAGACTAAACGCAACTCACCCACTCTCCTCCAGCAGCCGCTTGTTTGTGTAGGAGCCCTGATGAGTCGATCACTGAGTGCAGAGTTGAGTGGAGTTTCGCAGCTCAAGGAAGAACATTTATGATAATTTCTTCATGGAAATGCATAAGAACTACCGCATCTGCAGTGCAAAATTATTATTATGATGATGATTACTTCATGGAAATGTTCCGCTCTGTGTGTTTGACCATAACTTAAATTTATGCCAGAATATCCCTTTAAATCACATCAAGGGTGATGATGATTAGAAGGTGCAGGTAGACATCAGAGGAAAACTTGATGCTCCACAGGAAATAAACTGCACCGCCTTGAGGCCTGTCATAGTCAGTGGAAAGTTAATATCATTAAAAACTGACATTACCCTGGGAGGACTCAGTGGAGGAGGCATATGAAAGGAAAAAAGCTTAGATATGCTGAGTTAGCAAAGAGCAAGGATGGAACATAAGAGTTTGTCCAGCAGAAGTAGGATGGAGGGGTTTATAGCATGAACATCCACCTCATCACTGGAAGAGTTTGGAGAATGTGGACAGAGGGACCTTTGGGATGAGGTAGCTCAGGGACTCCCAGAGTAGACTGTGGGTAAGACCTTTAATGGTCATGTTGTACTGCTTTTCTTTGCCTCACTCAAAGGTAACGCTGAAATCTTGTTCACTTATTAAAGCAGCTGAACAGTTTTCATTTTCCGTCGCGTTTGGCGGCCACTATGGACAAAAGCAGTAGTGTTTTGCCAGAATAATGACTGCATTTCCGATGAGTTCTTGTGCGTACTGCTGTGCAGACACTGACAAGGTCTTTGGTCTGGCATGTAGTTGTTTTGGAGGCAAATGAAACAATACAGGACTTACTGATAGTTAAAATTTATTTTATTTTATTTTTTGGGGGGCTATCGGCAGGTGGTTAGGTAATGTATATATTTGCATTTCTATGAAATATAATTTGCCGCCAGTGAAATGAAGTAACGTTGTATTAATGTGATTTTTGTTTTTAGTCTACAGTTACATCCCGTTCGTAACAGTAAACCTGCAACAAACAGATTAGATAACTCGGCCGTAGATTAGTTTATGAAGCTTAAATTGTCAGCTTTCCTTGGAAATGTTATATCTTCATATCAATAAGCCAGCAGTGTAAAAAAGTGCAGCTTATGTTACCTGTCTAGGAGGAATTGGGCAAATTCAGGATCTGACTCCGCAACTCTCTCCACCTCGCGAAGGAATTACTAATGTTTATCCCCATTTTTGCCCTTGTTTTCACAGGCTATCTTAGCAACAACTCATTGCTCCTCTCGTATCGGTCAGTGGGCAGACC